GCAGTAGTCTACTGCTCCCCCACCCTTCCTTTCCTCTCCAACCCTTGGGAGGCAATAAAGTCTATTTCTTCAAGTATGAAAATATTTTCATGATTTTTTATAAAAACAGAGGCACCATTTCTGAACCCTAAGGATCATCTCTCTTTTTATCAAACAGACATGTTTAAAACACAATAACCGAAAAATGTTTTTGTAGCTCAAATGAAAAGATTCAGCTTCTAAGTTGTCTTTATTACTTTACCTTTGAGTTTTTCCTGCCTCTGTGTGGTGATCTTCACAACTTATTCTTTTTTTAATCCTTGAAGTGATTCCTATTAGAAATATCTACCTAGTTCAGAGCCATTTGCTGTTCTTCATGAATCACCACCCTCTAATCTAGGAGCGGTGAGCTCCAAAACGTTATCTGACAATTACGGAGAAAAAACATTACATGAATAACAATGACTACAAGGAAGAAGAAAATATTCTAGAATTGAATATGATGAGAATTGTACAGCTCTTCTTGATATGACTGTATTATTGAATTGTATATCATTTGAAGTACTAACAAATACTTAAAAAACAAAAACAAACAAACAAACAAAAACCTTTATTGTGGGATACCTCAATGACCTCCACATGGACACCCAGCCCAGAACACATTGAATTTCCTGACCCAAATTGACTGGTTCTCTCCCTGCAGAATTTGACATGTGGACAGGAGGGGCCTGCGGGCTTTCATTGGGTCATCACACTGATGGCGGGGTCCTGGCAACACGATCGAAGGACTCCTGCTTTCAGGGTCCCCTGAGCTCTTCCCAAATCTTCCCATCCTGTGGACGTCCCTGTTTTCTTAATTCACACACTGTGAGCCTGTAACGTGCAAGCACAGATTCTTCCTTACACCAAACTCTACATTAACAACCGCAGTTTCTCCCAAGAGATAAAACAGGATTGCTCTCTTAGAGGCTGCTGGAAACCTATCCCCAAGAGTTACTGGGAGTGGAAAGTGTCATCTCGCTTCTGTGACCAAACTTCTTCCTGTATCAGGACGTCATCAGCCCAGAAGCCCTTCTTCCCAGCGCCCCCCCCACCAAATCTGGATGCTTCTCTTTTAGCCAATCTCATGCTTTCCCTGAAACCCAAATGGGTTTCTAATATGCATGTTAGGATTTTCATTCATATTCCATGACCTCCACCCCCACCACCCATTTCCCTAATGTCCTTGAATGAAACCTGATGCCTCCTGCAGGTGGCAAGTTTGCACCTTGCTGATTCACACAGACTTTCCTATAGAGGAAAGGCCTTCCTGGGACCAGTGATGCACTTTATCAGCAGCTTAGATTCCTCATATAGCAACCCTTTCCCGAAAACTTGTCTCACTTTTCATCAACAACAAGAAGGACAGAGGTTCAAAGAAAAGAGTTTTTTCTTCTTTAGAACACTCTTTTGCAATCAGTTGCCACTGAGTGAACCCCCACATGTGTCAGAGTAGGACTGGGATTCCCAGGGTTTTCAATGGATGGTTGTTTCAGATGTAATTTTTCCAGCCTTTCTATTAGGATGTCTCTGAATGGATTCAAACTTCCAGCCTTTCAGTTAGCAGCCAAACTGCCTAGAGTGCTCCAAAGGCAATGGAGTCAGGCCATAAACAGAAAAGAGACCACACAAATGGCAGAACGTCTTTGGTTGCTCCTTTGTGTCGATCCTGACCTTGACTTTCTTTTCTCCCGTTTACTCTGTGTGCAGTGAGGATGACGCCGGCGAGGAGGGGAGAGTGGGAACTCTGAGCAGCTTTCCCTCTGTGAGAAAGAAGATCCTGACAACATGCTTGTATTTTGCTTGTAATGTGAACTCTCAGAGCACGCTTTCAAAATACAAAAACACTGAGGAGAGCATTAAAATGGCTTAAGACATCAAAGAACAAAAATTCATAAGATTGTAAATGTGGGTGAGTGCAGAGTGGAGACTCAATGCCCATTGGTAGGCAAGGGTTGGGGTGAGGAGATGAGCCAGTCAGGGTGCAGGGTAGCAATGACGAAATATATAACTTTCTTCTAGTTCTTAAATGCTTCCTCTCTGCCATTCCAATTATCAAGACCCCAATTCTACCTTACAAATCTGGCTAGAGCAGAGGATGTACATTGGTACAGATAGCAACTGCAAACACAGGGAATCCAGGACCTTCAGTACCAGTGGTGAGAGGCTTGATGCCTAGAGGGTGGAGGGAATGTGGTGTAGAAAGGGGGAACTGATTACAAGAATCTACTTATAGTTTCCTCCCTGGGGGATGGACAGCAGAGAAGAGGGTGGGGGGAGGCATCAGAGAGTGAAACCTATGACAAAATAATAATAATTTATGAATTATGAAGGGTTTATGATGGAGGGGGCAAAGGGGAGGGAGGGGAAAAATGAGCAGCCAATATTAAGGGCTCAAGTAGAAGGCAAATGTTTTGAGGGCAACAAATGTACATATGTGCTTGACACAATGGATGGATGTATGGATTATGATAAGAATTGTACGAGCCCCTAATAAAATGATTTTTTCAAACGGCGTAAGAAAACAGTTTCATCCTGGATTGCATTAATTGAATGTATTGTATTTCCTTGGTTCTTTATCCATTTGGCTGAATTATCTTATTTAAATTTAAGTGTTACATTAAAAATGAAAATCCAAATGCGGATATAGTGAATGAGTTTGCACTTGTTCCCCTCTCTTTTTTCCAACAATGCGTATGTTAGACCAACAGCTAAACTGAGCCCAGTGCCAGGCCTCATCTTCTCGCAGGAAGCCGCTGTCAGATATGAATTGCTCGCCTTGCTCTTAGCAGCCTGGTGCTTAACCTACTGCACCACCAGGGGTCTTACATATTAAGAGTTCAAGGAAAACCTCTTGGTTAAGCCATGTGATCACCATTCATAGCAGGAGAATTGTGTGATGTGGAGCTCTCTACAAATGATCCTGGTGAAGCCTTTTTAATAAGATGGCAGTGAGTTCTTATTTTTCTCCCGTGACTGTTTTCAGAAGAATAGAGGTTGTCTGAGATTGAGTTATTTTGCAGGCTGCCTAAAAACCTAGGGGATCCAGCTTAGACTTAATAAATGAGAACAAATTAAGAACAGGTACATTTATTTTTTTATTATTTTTTATAAGAACAGGTACAATTATGCTCTGTCCTCTCAATTGATTCTATTGCCTATCATTAATGATTCATGAGGATTTTACTATTGCACTTTAAGCTATGCTAAATTTTTAGTTTCCTTTTGGGACACTATTTTAATTTCTTTCCCTATTTTCATAACCCTTTTGTCAATGGTTGGCAAGATGAGAAGAAACAGCTATGAACACACAGACACGGAGTTTGTGCTCAGCTCACACTCACAGCTGAGTCCATTTGGACTCACAAGGACCTTTCAGGAGGTGGGCACAGGGAGTCTCAGGGATTACAGCTGAGAAAGTTTGGGCGGTGCTGTGTTTTGAGTTTAAGCAGCTATTTTCATCCCTCAGAGAATGGTGATCCCATGAAAAGTTAAGAAAGGCGACAACGGACTCGTCCTAGTTTGCATGGAAGGAGCCTGGCGGCACAGTAGTTACTTGCACCAGTGCTGACCCAGAGGTGGGCTGTCCAGCCCATCAGCGGCTCCGAGCAACAAACACCTGGTTCCCATAACCTCGCTCCCAGCAAAGACTGTGGGGCAGTTCTGGTTACAGGTCGCTAACAGTAGGAGTCATCTGGAAGGGACACGACAATAATCAACAATAACTATGGTAGCCAGTTGTCCTCCAAAGGAGGCCTGATCATGACGATCTCATGTGTGTCAGGGAAGAACCGTGTTCCAGAGAGTTTGTGAGGGTCATCTTCCAGCAGGTTGCTAGGTTTTTCTTCTGAGGCCCCCTAAGCCATTGTACCGCCCAGGGACTCCGTGTTTATAGTGAATGGAGACTCCTCACTGTCAAGCAGTCAATGCCAACGGAGAGTGACTCGATAGGACAGAGTAGAAGGACTCTGTAGGGCTTCCGAAGCTGTAAATCCCAAGGGAGGAGAAAGTGTCATCTATCTCCCAAGAAGGAGCTGCTGGGATGTGCTATGTCCACGAGTTATAGAACTTTATAGTATTAAAAATGAAAAAGTTAAAAACAAATTTTACAAATCAATCCATTAGTAGAAAAATGAAATGCAAAAAGGATGATCTCTATTATTCATCTCTGTACTTCCTATGGATAGTATAGAAATCAGCTAAATTCAATAAATGTGAATGCATCACACACACACACACACACACACACACAAGAAAAAGCTAGATGACGGAACCCTTACTGAGGTTCCTCTGTTCCTGGCGTTTGCTATGCCTGTTGTATTCCTAGCACCCAAAGCAGTGTGCACACGTAATAGTTATAGGATTAATTGATCACCAAATTAGGCCTTTTACACTCTTACCACATCAAGACCCAAGTAAAAATGGGGCGTTAGGCAAATCTAAGGGGAATACTATAGGTACAATATTCTCCCAGGTTTACGTCTACTGGAGCAGACATTAAAGGGCTAAACTACTGCACACTGAATACGCATACGTTCCCGGAGCCCCTGGTAAACCAGAAACCCCTGAATTTCTCCCCTCAGGCTGCTCGCTCCTAATGCGCAGGCGCAGGATTTGGCCAAAAAATTAAAAAAAAGGGGGGAGGAGGAAGAAAGAGGGCGGAGACGTGAGACCACGTGTCGCGTGCCGGTGGCCCCACCCCCTTCTTACGTCTGTGTCACGTGAGCGTCGGGGGCGTGCCAGCGTAAGGATCCTCCGGCGGCGCGCGGTAAGCTCTCCGCGGCTGTGGGGACGGACCTGGGGTGGTTTCGGCGCTGTGAGAGCCACGTCGCAGCGGCGGCCTGCTTTCCCCGCGACCATTCAGCATTTCCAGCCCGCCCGCCCCGTAAGTGGGAAGGAGCGGGCAGGAGGAGGGACACGCGGGCACCTAGTGTATTCTTTCTGAAGAAACCCACTTTCGGTCCTGCTTGCCGGACGCTGCCTTCTCTCCGTCGCCCGTGCGGCCGAGGCCGGCAGGCAGGGCGGGGAGGACGGCGCTTGGGAAGGGGAGGGCGGTCGGGCGGGGCGGCCGCCCATGCGTTAGGCTGGTTTCGCGCGCTTTCCTGTCGGCGCTCCCTGCCGCCTGGGGTGGCCACCGTCCCCGGAGCGCACGTCGCGGTCGGGTTCCTGCGCGCGCATCGGGACTGTCGCTCCTCACCCCGGGGTCCCGGAGCCCCTAAGACTGTGGGGGAGTCTTCCCGGGGGTCCCCGGCGGGCAGCCGGCCGCTCCTTTGTCAGTGCAGTAATTCTTGTCCCCAGGGGCCCACACGCTGGGCTCAGGTCGCCGAACCCTGGATTAGGTTGACGGGAGTCCTGGCGGAGTAGTGGTTACACGTTCGGCTGCGATTCGCCTGGTCGGCAGTTCGAAACCAACAGCAGTCGCCCGGGTGGGTGAAAGGCTGGGCTTTCTACTCCCGGAAACAGTTACAGTCTAGGAAAAGCCCGCAGGGGCCTTGCTGAGCCAACGCTGACTCGATGGCAGTGAATTCTGAGATGCTGGTCTCTTGGGGTCATAGTATTTGGGGGGCCCCCTCCTAGAGTTGCCTTTTAAAGAAAAATTGTAGTTCAAAATGCATGGGAAAGAACATTGGTCAATTGTAACATATTTTACATGTTGGAGTGCTGCTTGTACAGCTTCATCCAGTTGTGCAACCATCACCTCCGCCAGAGTTTAGTCCAGGTGTGGAGACGAACTGAGGAATCAACCCTGGACACGGAAAGGGGGCAGTAAGATTGCACTGTGACAGCCCGCTGCTCTGCGGGAGAAAGACAGGGCCTTCTACTCCTGTGAAGAGTGACAGTCTGGGGAATTGACAGGGCAGCTCTACCCTGCCCGATCAGGTGGCTCCCAGTAGGCATGGACTCCGTGGGCAGTGGGTTAAGAGGTTAGAGAGAAGGATGCTTTCCACTGATCAGATCTTTCAGACCTTTTTCAAATCCAGACAAATCCTAAAACGTGCCCTACACGTCGGCTTACAAATACACAGCCACGTCATTAACTGAGGAGTTTCACCAAACACGTTTCTCTCCTCACCTGCCCTGCATGGTTTTCTACTGTCTGTCGGCTTCATTCTATACCGTTGCATATTTTCAAATGATGATTACCGCCGAATACAGTGTGGGGGTTGTTAGGTTCGAGCCCGGGCCAGGAAGGGGTGGCACACCTAGGTGGGCGGTACACCTGGATTGGCCCATCTAGGCCAGAGGAATTTGATTCAGCCAATGGGATCGACCGGTACCATTAACCACGCCTATCAACGGGTGGGGGCGGGGCCTGAACACCCAGAATTTTGTTCTGCGCAGCCGTGCCACGGACTCCGTCTGGCGTGTGTTCCATTTACAGAAACTGCTTCTATCTATAAACTCACTTGGGTCACAAACCAGGCTTAGGCGTGAATTCTTTCTCGTGGGAAGCCTAGCACCGAGGTATATTTCTCTCCCACGGGAGCCCTAACAGGGATCCTGAGAAAAACGTTGCCCTGGAGGCATGCAGTGGATGGGGTCCAACTAACAGTATCTTAACATGAAATCGAGTGGAAATTAACCGTGTGCCCCACATAGTCATATAGTCATAGCAGTTTCTTAACATGAAATAGAGTAGAAGTTAACCATGTGCCCCACAGTCATACAGTTTTGTTTCTGAAACTGATTTCTTTGTGGCTGTTATCAGTGGGCTTTAAAAATTCTGTGGGGAAATTGTCTTAACAGATAATGAAAATGTTCATGGACTTTTTGGAGCCGCCTCACTTGTGTACATGTTAGAACTACAATTTTTCTTTAAAAGGCAACTCTAGGAGGGGGCCCCATGGGATGGGTCTGTCGCCCCAACTTTCATTAGATTGGGTGAAGGCATGCAAACATCGGGGAGATCTGCTCCACCTTCCCTTTCTTTTCCTTATACCCCTTAGTTTCTCTGTTCATGGTGTTGGGGACGCGTTCCTTACAAATAAATACAAATGCAAAACCTCATTACGTTGGAGATTAAGACATAATTATTACTGACTGGGAGAGCCTTGTTTATCCCAGCTGTATACCTTTGAAGGTTAGGATGCTGTTCTTTGGGCAAATCTATTTGTGTTTTGCTTTTCCTGGTAATGGTTTCTTAGATCTTTGAGAGACCTGTATTGAAGCTAGGACACAATCACATTTACATTTTTAAAATACTCCATTTAGAATGGGATTTTGTTCCAATGACTCCACTGGCATTAAGCCCTGGAATAACTTGACTATCTTTCCCCCATTAAATTTCAGTATTGCCTTTTATTATCATTATCTATAAAACTGATCTTTATTTGTTTTGGGTGGTTTGAAACATAGATAAACCTACAGATGTGTTTTAATTTACACAAGTGGATGATTGGAACGGGAGTTCATTGCAACTTGAATACCTTGAGGGGTTGGGACCCAGAATTGTGTTTCTGTGGGTCTAGTCATGATGTTAGACACCCTTTTCATTGATAGGGTTGAGAGTGGGCAGAGTAGGGAAAAGGTTAAGTAGTTCCACCTCGCAGAAGTAAGATTTTTATGATTGTCTTTTCACCAATAAAACAACCCCCAGATGCTAACCATGTACTGGTTTTTCAGTTACTAGACGCTGTCCTTCACCAGCTGTACAATGAATCCCAGTATGAAGCAGAAACAAGAAGAACTCCAAGAGAATATAAAGGTATGTGATCCAGTCACTGTATCCTGTTGTGGGAAGCATATGATTCGAAGTATTTTGACATAACCCAATTTTATTTGTCTAAGAGCTCATAGACCTTGAGTTACTGTATTTTCAGTCAGAGAACATATAGTAAAATGGCTCAGTGGTAAAGAGCTTGGCTTTTAACCAAAAGGTCTCTGGTTTCAACCCATTAGCCCCTCCCTGGGAGAAAAGTGTGACAACCCTATTTCTATAATGATTTACAGCCTTGGAAACCATATCCACCTATAGTGAGTTGGAATCAACTTAATGGCAGTGGATTCGACTTGGCCCCTTGCTACTCAGTTGTGCTGTTTCTAAAAGCCATCCAATGTTGTTGCTGTGTCACTAGTAATCTAATAATGTTAGAACTTGCGATTATCTGATATAATATTATTCTTACTGAAAATATTGGCTAATGACAAGTTCCTGCCTCTTGTATCCTTATTTGAAAATCACTTGACCATAAACAGAAAGGTTTATTTCTGGACTGTGTTCCGTGAGTCTGTATAAAGAAAATGGTAACAGCAATATGAAATTTTTTAGGACCATTAGCTTACATGTCTAAATTTAAATCTTAGGAATGGTCCTTTTGTGTGTTTGTGTGACAATAACTTAGCTCCTCTCTTGGGCTGTTATTAATAATAAGCATTTAAATAAATGAATACCTTCTATTAAGGCTCCAGCGTTATGTTTTCTTCCATTTGTCTGAAGGCTGTTGGCTAATCTGTAATCTAAGTGATCTGAAATGTGGGTGTAATATTTGTTCTCTTGGAAGCAGGCATTTGTTCTTCGGTTAAATAGTGAGATAGTAATCAGCAGCAGAAACTGGACCGTGGGAAAGGTGAACTCTGGTCCTGAGAAGTAGTGTGGAATCAGTAACTTTCTCACGCGGGTCTGGTATCATGTTCTTGCTAACCAGGTTTTGAGTATTCACCATTGTTAGCTATCCCATGTTGGCAGTATAACTAATGCATTTTGCAAAAATAGAGCTTTCAGATAAGGAAATATACTGGAAGCTATTTACATATTGAAAGGAAAACAATATTTTTTGCAAAGCATTAGGTTGGGCACATTGGAGTAGTACTTTCATTATACCTCCCGCACTGAACTTCCAGCTGTCTCCTAATGAATGGGCTTGAAGCCGAGTGCTCCTGTAAGCAGGTGGTGTTTCGGGGGGGAGGGGGTGTCTATTACAAATGTACACAGCTTTATGTAAAACATTTCCTTCAAAATTAGAAATATTTTTATGAATACATAGGAATGTGTTAGGAGCTGTTCATGAATAAAGGAAGATTGAGGTTAATTCTTTCGCTTATGGAAAGACGTATTTTGTAATGTTAATGATTAACCTTGCCTCCTCCTCCCATTTACTCTTGTGAATTTCTCCCCTATGTGCTGATATGTTGGGTTTTATAAAAGTAGAGTGTTTGTCAGTTCTAGGTTGTGTTTGTAACAGCGTCTAAGAGGCTGTAGATACTGTGTGGTACATGAGAGTCATCGCATACGGGTTTGAACTATTAAATGTAACTTAGAAATGTTGCTGTATTTTTATAGGGTTAATGAACCTTCCTGTAGCTTATGCCTTGGGCTGCTAACTGCGAGATTATCAGTTCAAAGCCACTGGCTACTCTGTGGGAGAAAGATGAGATTTTCCATTTCCATAGAGATTTATAGCCTCTGAAACCTACTGGGACATTCTATTCTATAGAGTTACTATGAGTCTGAATTGAGTCAGTGAAGTGAATTTGGAGTTGGGTATTTTTGGCAAATGATTAGTTGACAAGATGATCATATTTTAAGAATAGTAGGGATTAAAATGGGAGGAGAAACGTGTTTATACTGAGTGGGTGATTTGACTAATTTTAAGAATTTTTTTAATGATTGGATTTTAGAGGAATAATTGGCTTCCTGATTGATTTAGCCAATACCTTTATTATCCATATGTAGTATTGTTATATAACAAGTAAAATGTTACCATTCTTGTTTATTTTTTTCTTCAGATTATAGTAGAACCACTACAATTGCAATTCCTGTAGATACTCACTAACCAAAGTATGAATTCATTTGAATTTTAGAATAGTCCTGTCCCACGAAGAACTCTGAAGATGATTCAGCCTTCAGCAGATGGGGCTCTTGTTGGAAGAGAATGTGAGGTGTGCATTATTGTGTGGGAAAGGGGTCCATGTGATAATACTCCTCTCTGCCTTACAAATATCGCCCAAATTTCCTTGGTTAGCAACCCTGAATCATTGAAATTTGGAATGAGTTTAAGAGATAGTTCTTGTTTAGTTGCTCAATAGGAAGTTCAAACTTTGTATGACTGCCTACAGTGATACTGGAATGAAGAATTAAGTTATGAGTTATTCTGTATGCTAATAATGCTGCTTTGAGCTGAAGATGTTAGATTCTTTTATTTACCATATATACTCGAGTGTAAGCCGAGTTTTTTTCAGCATGTTTTTAATGCAGTTTTTGTGGTTAAATTAGGTACCTCGGCTGAGATTTAGGTCAGCTTATACTCGAGTACATATGGTATCCCTCTTTGTAAATAATAGAATCACAAATGTCTGGACTTCTGCCAGTTCAAACTATTGCCTTTGCATGATACTGAATTATTTAAATTATAAGTAATAAATCATGGCAGTTAAGCTTTAGAGCCAGCTTTATGCAGATAGTGGCTACAAATCAAATCTATCAAGGACAACTATACATAGTGTCATTTTAAGAAAGGAGATTCAATGATATAAAAAGATGAGTTCTCTTTTTAATAAATGCAGTAATATTCAACTTTTCCTGTTTCATAGATCAATATAAGTGTGTAAGGCCGGGTTGACTAGAGAAACAAATCCAGGGACACTCATATATCTAAGAGAGGGCTTTATATCAAGAAGTAATTATGTACTGAGAAAACCTCCCAGTCCAGTCCAACTCAAGCCCATGAGTCTGGTATCAGTCCATAAGAGGTACTCCAGACTCATGAAGCCACAAGCAATGATGCAGAATGCAGGAAAATCACAGGCCGGTGGGTGCAAAATCTTGTGGATCCAATGGCAGTGGGTGCATCTGCAGGGCTCTGGCAGCCACTAGGATCAGCCAGCAGGAAGGTGAAGGCAGAGAGAGCAGGGCAGGTTCCCAGGGTCGTCCTCTGAGAAGGCCATGCCCATAAGGAGGCACCTTCAGACTGTGACCTCATTGCCAGGGTGAATGCCACCCCAACATTTCTGTCTAGCTTCAAGTAGACGTGATATCACGCAACTACCACGGTGAGATTAATCTGTGTATTTTCATTACAGTTGGCCAAAGGCTTATCCAAAAAGAAACATGGAAATGGCCAGTTATCAACGAAAACTTCCAGGTCTGGAACTGATGTTGTCCCTGAACACAGTGAGAATAGAAACCTTGGAGGAGTCACCCAGGAAGCATTTGATCTTATGATTAAAGGTATATAAAAATGTGTCACTTTTATTTAAAAATATAACTTTAGTTAAAAGGTCAATGTATTTCTGTTTCACTGTTGTGAATGCTGCCTGTAGCCTCTTGATTTGGGATACTGTAAGAGGCTTCACCTAGTTCTTGTGCTTTTTTAGATAGTGGCATTTGCTAGGTTCTAAATGTGGATGAGGACTATGTATTAAGGGAAGGATAGTTGTTAAGATGGCAGCTCTGTTACTGGGTTAACTTAAAAGAGATTGGAAGATAGGAGACTTTTCCAGAAGAAAAATCTTTAGAGAATGAATTTGAAGTGAGAAAGGAGAATAGGAAGTAAGAGAACTAATAGAAACTTGGCCCCAAATTAAAGGCAGTGAAGATGGACGAGAATTGTGCTTATAAGTACTAGTTGATACTGGAATGGCGGTGGAAATCAGAAGAGGAAACTAAAAATGTAAAAAAAAAAAAAGGAAGATTACTACTTCTGAACTGTCCGTAAGTCATTTGCTATATGACTAGTGAGAAGATTGTAGCCTAGAGAAAAGAACCATGTCTAGAATAAAAATGGTGTGAAAAGTCATTGTGGAAATCATCATAATCACACATCCTGAAAATGTATAGCTCTCAGCTTTGCAATACTACCAATATGCGACAAACTGGCATCAGGTACTGAGTAGGACACAACATACTACGTAATATTCCTGCCGCACAGGCCTTCTCTGAATCCAGGCGTAGAATCCAGCCATTCTAAATTAAAGGCCAGATAAGCATAATCAAATAAACACAAAGCAAATATTTCAGATGGAAAAATCAATTTAGCTGAGAGATAATGTCTTTGCTTATTGTACTTTTGATGCAACTCTGCTGAAGGATTGAAAATTTTAAACATGAAATACTGGGAAAGATTCAAGAAATTGATTTTGTTTTGTAACGGTCTTATGAAAAGGTTTAAATAGAAAATTTATTAACTTTTTTTTACGGTAATATGTAACACGCCTGTATGTAAAACAATTTATTTCAGAAACTCCATCTTCTCAATATTGGAAGGAATTAGCAGAAAAACGAAGGCAGGCTCTCTATGATACACTGAAGGAAAATGAGAAAGTACGTATTCACCGTAATGGTTTGTGTCATTTTTCAAAAGCCATTCTGCGATGGTTTCTGTTTTCTGCTGCTATGAACATTTGGCTAGAGCAGTACAGCGAGCGTTCATGTTGGCCCCATGGAAGTATAATTACAAAGACACTCTGTGACCAGAACTGTTTCACAAAGAGCCTCCTGGGTCGAGAAGGTTACCTGTCACCTGCGTGAAGGGCTTTTCTCAGTTGTTTACTTGGAAGGTTAAGGGCTGGCCTGTAGCTTAGCCATGTGTACGGCACACTGAACTTCATGTATTTCATCTAGCTCCATAAAGAAATTGAAGACAAGGACAGTGAAATTGCACGTTTGAAAAAAGAGAATAAAGAATTAGCAGAAGTAGCAGAACACGTACAGTATATGGCAGAGATGATAGAGGTAGGTATTTTTAACATTCAAAGTCATTCATTTCTCTAGGAAACTAAAGCAGGGGGGGTGGGGGGCATGGGGAGGGGAAAAAAGAAAGAAATGAAAGCAGGATTGAGGATTGGATCAATGTTTCCGGTCTAAAATCAGCCTTCCTGGTCCCACAGATTTTTTAAGGTCCCTTGTGTTAAGTCAAATTAAATTCCTTATTTTGTCAGGACTTATTTTCCTCATCTGTAAAACGAGAATGGTGAACGCACGTCGTAGGTTTGTTCGATAATTAAGTGGAAAATTGGGAGGAGTGCCTGGCACGTAGTGAGAGCTCAGTAATCGAGCTATTATTTATTCTCATGAAGCAATAGAAAATACTTTCTTGTAGATTTATATAAAAGAATTCACTGGAAAATTGTGCTTTGTAGTTAAAGTATATTACCTAGATAAGTTTGATGGTTTTGTCTCTCAAAAGATTTGGAAATAGTTAATATCTGTACAAGAATTACTCTAGGTACTTACAGACCAACCCCAGTCATAACGAGTGCATTTCACATCACACGACCCTGTAGTGCAGGGAGAACTGTGCAGTGTCTGAGACCATCAGTCTTCACAGTAGACAGCCTCCTTTGCTCCCTCAGGGCTGCTGGTAGGTTCCAGCTGCTGAGCGGTTTGGAAGCAATCCTGCGCTTAACCCACTGCACCACCAGTGTTCTTTCATTTCACCGGGAGGGATCCACAGGTTTGTATGTTGATAATGGGTTTGGGCTTGAAAGTCATAATACACTATTGTTTGTTCTTTAAAAGAGACTGAGTGGTGACCCGCTGGAGAACTTTGAATCATCGGATGGTCGGGCATTTGAGTCTGAAGAGGAAACTGGTGAGGATTCCGAAGTGGAAGACTCAGAAATTGGCCGAAGAAATTCCTGTTAGACTGACCCGTTTGCATCCTGGGGCCCTTTGTATTAAAATACAAATACTGTGTATTTTTACTCCCTGTCTTATGTAAATAGCGTTTTCTCAATTGTTTGGCATGACTTGTGTACATGATAAATAAACATCAGCCTGCTATTAAGGAGCACTGTGTATGTCTTCATATAGTGTGAAGTTCAAGGGTCTGTAGAAAATGTTTCTTTCTCTACTTTTCTATTGTTTACTTTTCTCTTCCTCTGTTAACCATGTTGGAGGGAACAAGGGGAAATCATTGTCTCCTAATTAGGCTGAGCTCATTGAGGTTGCACTTCCACACGGGTTATAGCTCACACTCCCTGCAAAAACTGTTAATTTGGGGGCCTCATCCAGATACAGTTCTTTGGGAGTAGCTTGTAGGATGGAGCCTGAGAATCTTTTTCTAGGGCTTCTTGAGTGAATCTGCTGAAGCAGATGAAGGTTAATTGCTAGGATGACCAGGCTCTCTTGGGAGGTTAAAATGATTGTGATGGTGATCATCCTTTGGAGAAGCAAAGGGAGGAGCAGGTGGGACGCCAAGGAAGACCTGCAGGCAGAGCTGAGGGTTCTGAAGCTTTCTGTGTGCACATATGCACATGCTGATACAGGTGCAAGGTATATACATCCTGAGAAACGAAGGTGTAATTGAGTGCAATGGATTATAGATTCTATGAGGGCTTCAAGAAATGTGTGGAAAAATGAATAGATAAGAAAATGCATTTTTCCCCATGAACTTTGAAGCCCCCTCATGTTTTGAAGGAAGAAAAAAGACGAAATACAAATTGCTTGCAAAGTGTACAACATTGGGATCGAATAAGCTGTAAGAAGCACCCAGTTAAAATTTGAATAAATTGACAATGTCAAACTATAAATGGTGAAGCAGTTAGTAACCCCTTTATAGGGCCTTAGTTTTCCTAACTAATATTAAGATGAAACCTACTTCATTGTATTAGATGAAGGATTAGAACCAGAACCAAGTGATGCATCATTAGAAGCTATTACTGGTATTTAGCAGTAACATCTAACAGAACATTCTGAGAAGCTGAAAAATCTGTGTTGTCCTGTGTGGTAGACACTAACCACATGTGATTATTGAGCATGTGACATGGGACTAGTGAATGAGGGACTGCATTTTTAATTTATGTTTGAATAGCTGCTACAGGAGACTAGTGGCTACTGTACTGGACCAAACTCACTGCCATTGAATCATGGCAACTCATAACAATCCCCTGCTGTCTGTTGTGGAGATAAGAAATAGTTGCAGGAGTAGAAGGCCCCATCTTTCCCCCCCAGGAGTGGCTGCTGATTTTGAACCGTTGACCTTGTGAATTGCAGCCGGATGTTTATTGTATTTGACAGTGCAACTCTTGTAGTTGGGTCACTAGCCTATGGGTAGACGTAGGGGAACGTTCTGCGGCGGGCAGAGAAGAGACTGACCTGGAAAGCTGTTTGAATGGGTAATAGAGCGGAAAGCTGTGTGAAATGCTTTTGTAAATAGCCTTTTTTTTCCCCAGAAAGTTCGGAAAAATACCAAAAATGGACTTCCAGAAATTTGATGGTTAGGGAACAAAACAAAGAATTGAAGAGGATATCATAGACTCATGAAGGTTAAAATTTCTCTTTAAGGACACTTCCTTGTAAAGAAAGTAAAGGGCGCACCACAGACTAGGAGAATATAGGTTGGGGTTTTAAAAAGTGGGTTGATTTATAAAAAAATAAAAAGTGGTGGAAAAAAAAGTGGGAAGATCCCATTTTCTTTTCATTCCATGTCCGCAGGAACTTTTTTTAACTCCCCTCCCATTAGACATCTGAAAAGGGTTTCCTTTATGTACAGAACCTTTATAACTGGACAGTCGATAATTTTTATCATGGAGAAGTGACTTGGATACTTGAAGATATGCACCGATGAAAAGCACAAGAGGATAAAAGCTGCTCAATATCAGTCACTAGGGAAATGTAAATTAAAGATACATTGAGATATGTCTAAACACTTACTAAACTTAAGACCCAAACACTACCAAGTCAATTCTTAATCCTGGCAACCCCTTAGGACAGGTAGAACGGCCTGTCTGATTTTGAACTCGTAAGGCTCTGCCACCAGGGCTCCTAAGACACCTATCGGAATGGCTGCTACTTAAGTAAATAAACTTCACCATATCAAGTAGTACTAAGGGTGTGGAGAAACCAACTTTCCTAGGGCCCTGGTGGTGGAGCAGATTGAGGTGGGCTGCTAATCAC